GCAGCGCAGAGATGGCAACCTGAATTCTGAACAAAATCAGTTATTCAAACGAATCGTCATCAATTTCGAGTTCTACCAGCTAGAGGGCTTCGCCTTGAAGTTGGACGATGCCTGAAGTTGACCCACTGCAAAAAAGCGCTTGTGCGCAAAATAGAGGTGCGTGCTGCTTCTGTTTAATGTCCGCTGCTGTTGTGCACCTGTGAGTTGAGTTGTGTTGTCCTTTCAGATTTGGCTTGTTGCGCAGTCTACTCCGGTCCTCGCCTCCATAGTTGCCAGATGGCTCGCTTCCGCAACTATTCGCGCTCTCGGTCGCCAGTGGTTCGCCGTCATACTAGGGCTCAGGAGTTTGACAGTCCCCACGGGCATGGTCGCAAGGAGCATTCCCTTGACCTTCCCCACAGCTTCCAGTCGGACAGCAAGTTCCTCGACCGCAACTCCCTCTTCGGCCGCCAATTCTACCGCAACGTTTGCTCTACACCATGGTCGCAGCAAACTGGTTTGGCAAATCGGCCCGTGGACTCCGTGAGGGTTCACGAGTTGTGCTATTTGGGGTGGGAGAACCACAACCTCCGGGCATTGTCCGCAGGGGCTTTCGTGAGTGTCGTGTTCGCAAGGTCAGTCCGCGAAGCCCAAGTTGCAGATTCGCTTCTTCGTTTGTGTCGTACCGAGCACTTTGACGTCGAAGGTGCAGCCTTCAACCGGTGGTTTCAAAAGTATGGGGAGAAGCCAACCGACAAGGACACCAAAAACAAAGCCGTTCAGGAGTTGGCCAGTGAAGCTTTGGGCGCACTTCGTCAGTATCAAGTCTCCGCCGCATCAGCGTCAGAGTCCCGTGAACTCGAGGAACTTCGTAAGAAGGTGAAGGAGCTTGAAGATGAGAAGGCCACGAACAAGAGGAGGTCTCGTTCCAAGTCCCCCGTGCTCCCAGCGCGCAAGCGGCTACAAAAAGGAGCCCCTCCTCCCTCGTTGCCTGTTGACGGCGTGAGCTCGTCGCCTTTGCTGACAATCGACTCAAGTGTGAAGCCACTTCGCGACTCCTACCCCTCCACTGTTACCCCGCAGGGTGTCAGCGCGTGGATTCGAAAGTTGCCCAAGAAGTTGGAGGCTCCCGTCCAGAAGGCCATCAAAGAAGCTGAACAAGTGTTCAAGGAGCTGTCTGAGTCGCAAGTTGCAAGCCTCCCGGATGTTGCGGCGGGTTGGGGACTGAGTGTGAAACAAGCGGGAACAGCAAAGGAAAAGGAGCTGGTCCGCATTATTGCGGCAGCATACGCCCTTTCCCGCTGACCTCCCAGTTCATACAAACAGTTTTCCATTTTAACCGATCTTTGCAAGGTGCTGCAGTGCGCTTTGCTTTTTCCTAAGCAAGCAGTCAAACGAGCTGCCTTGTACGTGGCTGGATGTGTGTGGCTCACTCTCTTGTTTGGTGCCGAAAGACTTTCATTCAAAGCGGCTGAGTGGAAGAGAAGGTTGCAACGCCATAATGTCTCACCGCAGACGTATACCTGGAATC